CAGGTAAAAAAGGACAAAAATTATATTTTACATAAATGAATCAACTTTCAAGTGCATATTAGAGATTGAGCCAGGTTATAAAGTGTATATAAGTGAGGGTAAGTTACATGAACTACTAGGTTTATGAGCAAAAATATATAAAGATTCATCAGAAGAAGGGTTTAATCTCATTAATATTACAAGGGGTTTAGATGGATTGTTCATTAGGTGTTCATTAGTCAATCGAGAGTTTGGAGCAGATGAGGACGTTTTATACGATATGTTACCATACGCAAGATCGGGAGAAGCCATTCAAGAAAAAATAGACCAAGTTTTGAACGCTAAGAGCGCGGTTTTAAAATTAAAATGGAATGCAATTACCGTATACGAAATATTACCTCAAAAACAACAAGATATTATAATTCAACTATCATGTTCCATTCATAAACCAACGAATATATTCGTATGCTTGCAAAAACTAGACAGATCGAAGCTCAAGACTTTAATTCTATGGTATTCGATCACTTCGATCTTGAACACATCTTCGTTGAAATTAACGGTAAACAGTTCCCGGATAAAGCGATAGAATGTGATTTTAAGAATAACAATTGCATGGAAATATAGATTTTTAGAAGCATGTAAAAAAAAGAAGTAATCAATTAATTACGACGGTGTTATAAGTATATACCCCATCTTTCATATAGATGTTACTAAACACCCCTTAGAACTGTACGAGAACACCACGTTTCCCGGCATCGTTATTACCTTAAAACTTAAAAAGACACCAAATGTTTTTCTACAAGGCTTCTTAGTAATTTATAACATAAGAGAAGCTTCGTTAAACATAGAACAAAAAAGATGCGCATCATTAAATAAAAAAATTAAACTAATTAACGGTAACTTAAAATAAAACTACGCTAAAAATCATGCCTTACATATGTCAGAGTTAATCTGTCGGTAACCAATTAAATAAAATACGTTCCACTTCTAAAACGGGTGCTGGTGATTCGATTCGTATCGATCCATCTAAGAGAGCTAATCACAACTTAAACTTAACCCAAACTCAAGTCAATAAGTTAAATGATAAAAAACCTAGAGATATTAAACTTTCAAGGACTCAACTTACAAAGCAAGGAGGATTCATCTTTACTTTACCAGCCATACTAGCAGGTATAGGAGCAGCAGCTTCGGTTGCGGGTGCGTCCGCAGGAATCGTTAAAACCGTTAATGATAAAAGCATAATGATAAAACGGAAGCAGAAACTATACGACGTAACAAAGAAATGGAATCGATAATAAAATATATTGATAATCTTAAAATCGGTACCGGAGCTTTTTTACCCAATAAGGTTTATCTAATTTTCAAATACAAGACCTTCTAAGAAATGAAAATAATTTTATAAGTTCCTTTATGCGAGACGATCCGGATTTATTGAATCACGTAACGAAAAGGAATGACTTTACTTTAATCATAAATTTGGACGAATCATCTGATCCTGGCACCCACTGGGTTTGTTTATTTATTTCGAATAAGAAGTATTACATAGAATATTACGATTCATTCGGTTTACCTCCTCCGAAAGAAATCAAAGCATTTAAACCTATTTGGCATAATATTGTGCAGCATCAAAGTGTAAATAGCAATCTCTGTGGCTTGTATCACACACAGCACAAGTCGGTCTGGTTACCAAGGCATCACAGTAAAGTAACCATAGGTGCTGTTGTTTTTCTTTCCAATTAAGTAATATTACCGTCTTCTGAAGTGCTGTGTGGTAGTCATCATTCAGGAATGGTGATATTACCATTGACACGGTAAAAATTCCTTCGACTGTTCATGGATTCCTGAGATTCACCTGATGAAAGTTCAAAATAGTAACCTTACTAACCTCTTGGCTGAAATACCATTTGAGGCTCATTCTAAGTGGGCACCAAGCATGGTTTGCTTACTGTGCAAAAAGCACTCAATTAACTTGCCCTTGTGACTTAACCAGGAGAATGACGCTAGCACTGCAGCAGCAATTTGGAAAATAATGGCAGCATGTTGTGCTAATTTACAAATCTGAGTCGATCGCAAATACTTGAGCTAATTAATGTGGGAGAAACTCCGTCACCTTACATCAAGAGGCAAAATTAATAATTGAAAAGTGGAAAGGGGAGAGGCCTCACATCCTTAGGGCAATTAACTGCGCTGGAGAGGACACGGCAGGTGTCTCCCCAGGAATTCGAATTCGTGATAATTATCCACAGGCGCTATAGCGTCTATTACCTTTCTTCAACCCCTTCCCGTTGAAAATTTTAACCTTCTCGCACTCTTCTCTAAAAATGAAAAGCACCCAAATTTTGCTTCCTTTTTCCTCTCTCGACACAGAACCGCTACAGAATATTTGAATCTTCAACCCCCGAGATTGTGGAGATCAATGAAGGTTATTTTGCAAAGATGTGAATTTCACTCCGGTTTTTACTACCCCTTTGGGTAGTAATTCCTGAGGAGATTTCGAAGGAAAGAGAACAAAAAAGAAAGTTATTGACTTGTAGGTTGCAGAAAGTGGCTTTTTGCTCTTTGTGGTGCACCAATTCACCACAAAAAATGAAAATAGCTGTCATTCATTTATGCTTAAAGCGATGGCTCCAGTCCTGTCCCCAGTGTTGCCGGATGTCATACCAGAATTACTTCAATTTCATGACTTCTTATCCATGAATCCTGAGGTCTCCTATCTAAAAATTCTCCTTTTTAATGTATGAGCTATTTTAGTGCTTATTTCATGAAATGAGCTGAGATTGAAACGATACTAAGCAGTGGGCGATTAATGTGGTGGGATATGGATATATCTTATCCGGACATCCCTGAATTAATGATGGCGCACAGAGTGTATGTCATGCTTCCTAGCTGCATTCTTTCTTCTGAACTAGTCAAGATGATTCGGGGAACTTTAGATATGCCATATTTACCACGTCCGAGTTGAAATCGGTCATGAAACTCCATACAGGCCTCTAATCGACTTAATCGTCCTTTGAAATGGATCGTGAGAGACTGCGTTGGGATGCGATTGACATAACTTGACACATCGTGTAAGTGTTTGGAAGACCAAGGATTCATCCTTAGGCCTAATTAAGTAAGTCGAGGATTGAGTTTCGTTTGAATGAATGAAGGTAGGCCTCGGCCCGACGGGTATTATACGTTACAAACTCACTGTTGTCGAGCCTTCGGCACTCCATTACCTTGGATAGTGATTAATTCATTTATTCTTTGCGAAATGGCAAACACCTATTTAAAGTACGTCCCATTGAAATACGTGACATATAGGGACGAAAGTCTTGATTTTTATCAAAATCATTATTTCAATTATTTCTAGTGTGCCTAACTTGAAATCTTTTCATGTGTCCCTTTTGTGAGGGTGGAGAATACATATTTAAATACTGTATGTACTTCCCTGCAATAATCTACGCTAAGGGGGCATATTACAAAAGTAGGATTTTTCCTGTACTCAGCCATAAAACAAGTATCTATACTTCTGAGGGAATTTCAAATTTGCTGTTTCTGTTTCGTTGGATCGAAAAATAATTCACGAAAATGGGACTTGAAAAAAGTGCCATGATGGGTTTTAACGAAAATTTTTTTTCTTCTGAAATATAGACTCAGGGAACTCCATGCCACCCAGTTTCAGCCTTAAACATTTCCCCTTTTTGCTGGCGGTAAAAAAAAAAATATTTGGAAAAGCGACCCACCCAAAAGCTGTGCTCTGAGGAAACACACAAAAAGTTGCATTTTTCCTAAAGCAACATCGCGTCCGTTATGCGTGTACCAGCTACTTTTCAATTTCTGCCCCATTTGCTTGGATATTAAAATTTCATTGCAAATGTTACGTCCCCAATAAATATGCCCCCCAAAAATATTTTGGAAATTTAACATTTGACATTTGTGCTGAGTGCTTCACCAGTCACGTTCTTGCCATGTTAGAGCTTCCATGGATTTCCGTATGATTGAAGCAAAGAGAACTATTTAAAAATATGTTCCCCGAAATGGTGTTCCCCAATGGCGTGTATCACTAAAGTGGAATTTTTTCTGATCTCAGCATATGAATGTGAATAGCAACTTACGTCAGTCAGCTACTCACGATCGTCTATATATAATATGAAAGTAGAATTGTTTCTTTACTCAGCAATTCAATATTCAGTACTCAGGTACTTTTTTGCCAAGTTTAAACTTTCTAGCACCCTCTGTTTTGCTGAATCAGAAAATTCAGGAAAAATTGCAAAATATGTGCCCTCGGGCGTTTTAACCAAAAAGTACAATTTTTACCGAAATCAAACCTCAGTGAACTACATGCCCACAAAGTTAATATGGCCTGGGGATACACATTTTGGGGGGAGAAGTTTTTTAAAATATATTTCGTGATGGAAAAGGATGTCTTCGAGAAATGTTACTGGATATCACCTTTTCGCTGGTGAAAAATCATGTTTGGAAAATCCAAACCACCCAGAAGCAATGCCCGGAGGGGATGCACCATGAAAGCTGAATACTCCCTCGAGTCAATAATATCACGTTACTTTTACGAGTGCCAGGTTTCACCTTTCCATTTCTGTCCAATTCACCACGACAATTTCTTTTTTTTAAACATCGCCCCTCGAGAAATTATCCCCCCAGGGATGTATCAAGACTTAACATGTTTCTTTAACTCCTCATCTTGGTAGTCATATTCATACTCAGTTCCAGCTTTCCATGTCTATTGGTTTAACTAATGGAAAAAAAAATAATGTGGAAACATCTCCCTTTGAAATTCATGCCCCCAGGGCATTTCATTCCAAAGTCTGAATTTTTCTGCACGCAGTATCCCGGTAGGTAATTATGTACCAAGTTTCATCATTCCACACTAGCTGAATCCACCAGGACAAAAAAACACTTGAAAACGTTGGCCCCCAAAAAACTGCCCCCAGGGCATGGATTTAAAATGTTGCATTTTTCCTGAACTCATTGTGTCCATGCCACGTTTCAGGTTTCCATATGTCTCCGTTTTATTCAAGCAATGGGACATGGATGGCAAGAGAAGCCAAAAAAAAGCATGGAATGGCCGGGAATTGAACCCATGCCTCACGATGACCTGTCAGATGTGGCACCACCACACCACCGAAAAGGTGATATCCAGTAACATTTCTCGAAGACATCCTTTTCCATCACGAAATATATTTTAAAAAACTTCTCCCCCCAAAATGTGTATCCCCAGGCCATATACCTCCAAAGTCGGATTTTTTCTGAACTCTGCAACCCAAAAAGTATATGGGTACAAAGTTTCAGATTTCTAACCTTTCTGGAACATGGTTAGAATCAGCGTCAGTCAGTCAGACACGATCGTCTATATATATTAGAAGCGCACACCCCCCCCCCCCACCCCCTATGCACACCACTGTGCACACTGAGTTTTGCTTAGGCACCACCGCACGCACATCCGTCGCTATGCTGCATGGCATCCTAGGCATTCATATGGTGAGCTCCAAGCACACTGGCATGATCCTGGCGTACGTTGAGCCGTACCCCGCATTTCGTAGGCGTTGATGGCAGCGCCATCTAACGGCATCCGCTAGAACTAGTGTTCTACACTACTTCCTGTAGGTGTCATGTGCAATGCTCCACGTGATTCCCACGATATTGTGTCCCAGGCAGCAAGGTCACAACCTTGTCCGCTTCAACTTTCTCGCAATTTCCCGTTCACTTCTTACAAGCGTGTGGGGGGGGGGGGGGGGGGGGGGGCGCATAACTTATAATACACGCCCAACCCGATGCCAGTCGGTCATTTAAGCTTAGACCTCACGTTAGTCAAGGGTCATAGAGAAACATGTTTCACATTCAAGAGACAATTTTTATTGTTCCATACTGAAAAACTGAACAGGACAGATTCAGAGTCAAGTTTTGGACAAAAGGTGGATCGTGACAGGAGTGGTTGCTTTGCAAAAGTGACAGATTCTCTTGCATTCTCCAGGCATTCTCTTGGGCATGCAGATTTGAGAATGTATTCCTCCGATAAATTTATATTAATTTCTTGAATGAATACTTTCATATACATAGCACATGTTCTCGAATTCATATCAGTTGGAAATATCTCAGAATTATATTAATAATAGGAGACCTTTCATGAAAGGAAATGCACATGTGCAGATTTGCAGAGTAGCTATTTTGATTTTGCATCTTTTTTGTTATATTCTCATGAACTTATTTTGTAACCAATAATAGAGTCTGCCCAATGATGAAGTGATGTTTGCTCATCATGTCTCTGCTTCAACTCTCTCAGAATTCCTCCAGAGAGCGGTGAGTTCTGGATTACTGTAAGAAATCTCTTCAAGAATGCTCAGCAGATTTTCAATTAGGGATATATAAAAGAATCCTGCAAAACATACCTCCAAGCTCTGAGGGCTTGGATTCCATGGTCATTTTCATTCAATAGTTTTTCTTTCATGTGACAGCACATTGATCTCTTCAAACCCATGCTGTATTCTCAATTGAGCATGTATGGACTAATCTTGGAGATGCCATTATGATTGAATCTGTTACAATGGCGTAATTCTGAGCTTGCATAAGGCATGCATGATGAGAAAGTGTCACTTAAGAGTTATTGGACCAGCTTTCACATGGGGTACCAGGCAGGCTTGGAAAAGATTGACAGAAAAGGCATCATGAATTGGCACTCCTATAAAAATAATTAATGGATGTGACTTTTTATTTTTTTAGAAAGGAATTCTTTATATTTTTACTTACTTTTTTGAACCCTGTCTCAGCCCTCCAAAAATTTAATTGATGGCAAAATATATCCATGAGTCCCAATGCAATGTTGTCTACAAGTGTAGCATGTGCTCAGTGCATTTGATGCCTGAGGCTAAGTATTTGAAGCATCTTGGAGAAGAACATAGACATAAACTTGATTCGGTTAAATGTGGCATTCAAAACTGTGAGAAGCAATACACCAACCTAAGGAGTGTCAAGAGGCATTTGAAGAAAGATCATAAACCTGAGATGACTATTGAAAAAGCTACTCAATCATCATCAGCATCATCTATGCATCACATTTCATCTTTCACAACAGAATTTGGATCACATTTGGATAAAGATACAGATGAGAAAAGTTACATGGACTGTGGGGCCTGAGTCATGTAGAGGAACTTTCTGAGATGATTGAAGGAAATTTACCAGATTCCCTTGATGAATTGGATAGCAATCCACCATGTTTAAAAAAGTGCAGTCCCACACATGATGATGAAATAGTTGCAGGTTTATTGAAACTTCAGGATCAACACCATTTAACCAATCAGGCTATGGGAGCTCTCTTTCAAGAAATTCAGGAAATGTACTCATCATTAGTCCAGCGCATTATGATGCTTGTGCCCCCCCTCTCAGACATGTCTACATTCCAGCAGAGCTTCTCAGATATTCAGGAAGAACTTGAGGAAGTATTGGATATATTCTCTGACTCAAAGAAGACTGAAAGATTCTTATCAGAAAGCCAATATTTTCAATGCAAATATGCAAAGCCTGAGGAGTATTGCCTCCAACAGGTCCCCTGGCATGAAATGGAAGATCTTCCATCTTGCCTAGCCCAACCAAGGAGTGACACAATTGTGTACATTCCTTTGGGAAAGACAATTCTTAGCCTTCTTTCGCATCAGAACATCTTGGCAGAGGTTTTGAAGGAACATCAATGTAATGATGGATTTCTCCATATCTGAGATGGGACAATTTGGGACAGTGATTCATGTGATTCAAGGACCCTTTAGATCATGCTGTATTATGATGACTTCCAACTTGCTAATCCAATTGGAACAAGGACACTTCACATGAAGCTTGCAGGATTCTATTTTTTTCTGGGAAACTTGCCTGCAAGGATGAGATCAAAACTTCATATGATTCAGTTACTGTGCTTGGCAAAGTATGTTCATGTTAAGAAGTATGGGTTTGAAGCAGTATTAGAACCTTTCATTGAAGAAATGAAAGTTCTGGAATCTAATGGTCTCGCCTTCATGACCCAAGAGGGTAAAAATATTCATTTCAATGTGAGGTTGATCTGTGTGTGTGCAGACAATCTAGCTGCCCACAGCCTTGCTGGGTTCATGGAAAGTTTTTCCGGATTACGTTCCTGCAGATTTTGCATGGCAACTAGGGATACAGTTCAGGATTTCTTTGAAGATGCATCTTTTCAGCCAAGAACAGAAGTTGGATATGATCACCAAACTGAAATGGTGAAGACCATGCCAGACTTGAGGTCTGTGTATGGTTTGAAGCAGTCTTCCTGCTTGAATGACCTTCAATTTCACTGCATAGACAGCTTTCCCCCAGACATTGTTCATGATCTTCTGGAAGGTGTTTGTCCATTGATTGTTGAGAAGATTCTGACCCAGTATTGTGAGAAGTGCATATTATCAATTGATGAGTTGAACACTCGGATTTCATCCTTCTCGTATGGTACTGGTGATTGCTCTAGGAAGCCATCATCGCTGTCTCGGAGTCTTGGTAACATCCACGTGAAGCAGACAGCAAGTCAAATGTGGTGCCTTTTACGCTTGCTTCCTCTGATGATTGGTGAAGTGATTCCAGTTGGAGATTAGTTTTGGGAGTTGTTTCTCACTTTGTTGGATGTTGTTGAACTTGCCTTCAGTCCCATACACACTCCTGACTCAATGTGAAAGTCAAGGACTTTTTGCAGTTGTACAAGGAACTGTTTCCTTCTGCTAGAATAACTCCTAAAATGCATTTCTTGGTTCATTATCCTCGTCTCATCAAAACCTTTGGTCCATTGCCACATGTTTGGACAATGAGATTTGAAGGGAAACATGCAAATCTAAAGCAGAAGGCTCGGCGAACAAAAAATTCAAAAAACATATGTCTGACCCTTGCAAAGCAGCATCAAAGGATGCAGTGTTCTCTGCACACTGCAGAATCATATTCTATGGATTCCATAGTTACTCCTGCTAAGCTTGTGAAGAAGAAAGTATCTAGTTTGAAGGCTTCCCTTTCAGCATTGCTATGCTCACAGTTTGGAAATGTGGAAAGCTTATCTTTTGCTGAGTCTGTGAAACTGGAAGGTGTGAAAGTAGCTAGAGGTAGTGTCCTTATCCAAGAATCCAATGCTGGCATATACTCTTTTCTGAGGGTTGATGACATAGTCATCAAGGAGGGACATGCATACTTTGTTATCACAGCCTATGATTCTCACTACATACATCACTTCCATTCATATGTAATATACCCTCCAGCTTCTTTGTCTCAGTCACTTATTACTCTGCAAGAACTTGAACAACATTGTGTTTTGGCTTCCTATATGGTTAATGGTGTTAGCATGGTTCCCCTGAAATATCGGACAGACATTTATTGATTCCTTTAGGATTCACTAAGTTCATGGAGTATCTGGTGGAACTTGGAGCAAGGAGGAAACCAATTCTGCTACAAGATGGAAATCTTTTATCTACAGTACGGAGAGCTTTCAGACTGGAAGATGCTACTGACATCATTCTTCAGGCATTTCACCCAAAGTGGGACCAATGGATCGATGTGGAAAATCTAGAAGAAATCCCTCCTGGCACCAAGATCTTGAAGGCAGTGGTTGAATCCACTCAGCATACTGATACTGGAACAGTTGGAAATAGATCTCCTGGTAGGGTACATGAAGAAGTGTTTATTGGGCCCAGCAGTCATCAACCCAGTGACCTAGATATGACATATCAAGTGGGAGTGGCTATTGGATCATCTGGTTGTGCTGATGGGTTAGCTTTCCAGAATTCATCACAGACTAATCCTGAGACATGGGATAAAGAGAAACATGATCTACCTCAACTTTCTGGTCATTGCTTAGTTGAGATGTGAGTTTTAAAACAATTTTTCTTCATCTTCCATTTTAGGAATGCTTGAAGATTGCTTTATATTTTTTCCTTTTTCTGTCATCACCTGCTGAATTTAATTTAAATATCTGTAAGAAACTTTGGAGCATCACAAATGGAATGACCTCATGTGAAATTTAAATGTTCAGGGAATTTTGCTGCTGGCATGGTTTGGCTCTTTGAGAAAACACCTCACAGGAGTTTCAGTATTATTTTTCACAATGTGAAAGATAATGTCATTTGATTGTTTTGTGGTTTTGAGTATACTTGTGTGTTGACAGGAATACTGTGACATTGAATGCAGATGAGCTTGAAACTCCAAGAAGTTCAGGAGTGTCCCAAGACCCAGCACATATTTGCTTGGCTGAGTGAGTTCTATGTGAAAGATTTTTGTTTTTGAATCTGCATGGCCTCTTTGATTTTGGCAGTATTAATTTGCTGCTAGGTCTATGAAATAAATGAGTGTATGGAAAAAACCCTTTTCAGTGAGAGAATGGAGTTGAAAAAGCGTACATGGACTGGAGAGTTCAAATTGCCACAATTTCCAGATAGCATTTCACAAGTACTCTCAAAGGGGGACCCAAGAATCCTTGATGTGAGGAAAAGGAAGGCCATGATAGACTTCATCTATTATGAGATTGAGAACTATGATGTGTGAGTTCAATTGAAATGCAAGTGAAATTCAAGTCTGAAAATGAAATTAATCAAAATATTTTTGGCGTTGTTGTATAGCACAAAAAAAGGCATATATGAGGGGTGATTGGAAAGTAACAAGACAAGACCTGTAGTTTTGAATGCAATTTCTTTTAGAACCTGTCACACATGTGCCTCACACCTTGAAATATGCTCTGGATGTGTTCCTGAAAAAGCAAGCATATCGCAAATATGCATAAATTATTTATATTATAAATTACATATACTGTAAATTAATTGATGAAACTATTCTCATGGGAAAACTTGTTTCATAAAATGCTGATTCACAATATGCTAGGTTTTTCAGGAATGCATCCTGATCATGTTGTGAGGTATTACTGTATTGTGGAAGTACCTACCCTACACTACTTCTCCACATAGTCACTACCCAGGGTGAGACATTTGTTCCATCAAAGAACCAGCTTTTCCATGACATCCTCATAGAATTCTGTGTCGTGTGTGTAATCTTTCTCGAACACTATTTTGAACTGCAGCATCTACATTGAAATCAAGTGGAAGTGTTTCTGCTAAGGTCTGAATAGATGGAAGTCACTGAGTGCACAACTGGGACTGCGAGGACTTCCTACCCAAGCCTCTTCTCTGGCCACTCCACGATCATACTCCATTCAGTCCCGATCTTGCGCCACGCCACTTCCATCTGTTCAGGCCTTAGAAGAAAAACCTCAGTGGATGTGATTTCACTACTGATGCTGTGGTTCAAGTGTGGTTATGTGCACAGGACATGGAATGCTATGAGGATGTCATGAAATAGCTGGTTCTTTGATGGAACAAATGTCTAAACCTGTGTAGTGACTTAGTGGAGAAGTAGTGTAAGGTAGGTATTTCCACAATGCAGGCCTTGTCTTGTTACTTTCCGATCACCGCTTGTACATAGGAAAGTGCATGTCTTTTATTACATTATGATATATTCACCATACATGTTCTAGCATTTGTTCCTGTGTTTCATTAGGTTTTAAATGCCTGTCTCAAAGAATGCATTATCTAACGTTACAGGCAGCATATGAAGTTGCTTGCATGTCCTAGTTATTCCATCTTCCCTGGTCATATGTAGCAATGTAGAAAAGTACTATTTAATTTTGCAGGAAGCTTGATCATGACAAGTATGTGATGATTGCAAGAGCCATTACTGATTCATATCCGCATCTTGCTGAGCCATGTGGACTAGATGGCAATCCTTGGGTAGGGCAGCTTGCATTTCATATTGTCAGATTTTTTTTCAGGCATTTTTAAACCTATTAATTTTATACTCAAGCAAAATGTTATAAACATACAGTTAGGAGACCTGCAACTTTGATCAACTTGTCAATGTGAATAAGAAATAATAAAATGTTGTATATATTATATTGGGCAGCTTGACAAAGTTTACTTCATCATGCCTATAACATTTCTGCTACAACATTAACCAAACAAATCAGTTTCCTCAGTGAACCTTGAACTGTTATTACATTTGTGAAGTTGCTTTCATCTAATGTTTTCTGAGATGTCAATTTTGAAGCAGATCTTATTTTCCTCCTGATATTCCCTTTATGCAAAATAGGATGCATGGAAGGGACGAATAATTGACAAGGTCAATAACGAAAGGAAATCCAAGAGAAGATTCTCAAAAGGAGCATTGAGGAATCCCATTCTTGATGGGGTGCCTGCAGGTAGTTGCATGCCTCCTGGAGAAGATGAGAAATCCCTCCAATTGCATATCAAGTAAGTAATAGATTGGGTTGGTCTCTGGTAATAAATGATTAAACCCATTCTAGTATGAGTTCCTCATTCCTGTTGCGAATTTACTAAAAAGATGCTCTTTCTTTCAGAACCATGAAGATTGAATCCAGGAAACGTCAGGTTGACAAAAAGAAAGTCCAGAAACTGCTTGATGTGACATTTTGCCTCAGGTATGGAACTCATAGATTGAAGAAGGTGTCGGAGATGCTAGAGGTATATCCGTGTCTCTCTAATGCAGTTGAGGTGAGCTTCATGGTTTCAAAATGTATCATGATAATATTTTTTGTGTATCACTTGATGTTCCTGATCTAAACTGAAACAATATCTCAAAAAAAGAATGGAATTAGGAAATATTGTTGCATCATGTCCCTGGGGTGGGACACCTTGGATCATTTGAACATATTCATTTTTTAAATTATGCACTCTACTACATTGTGTGAACCTTTGGATATGCTAAAGTGCATGCTAGAAGTTTTCCTTGGTCATCCACTTAGATGGATGAACTGCACCAAGAATCCTTCAGAGGCATTGCAAAAGATACATGTATGTAATGTAAGCATTTACCTGGGAAAGCAACAACTGGAGTATGACTTTTACTATTAGCCCAAATCCCACAGATAATATGCCTAGTTGTACTGAAATAACCCATCCAACTTATGCTGAATTTTTCTAAATTACCTTTGGAATGCCATGGAGGTAATGAAAATTTGATGAGCCCAATGGTAAAAGAAAAGAAAATGCTGCAGAATTATTTTGATGGGGCACCATGGACAGGGACCAAGTGTAGTCCATGGTGCCCTGCTCTGGTTTTTTCTACAATTCCATGCATGGTATGAAAACAAAAGATCATAGCATGTGTACCATGTTGTTAAGTTTTAGCCAAATAACACAGCTATAGCATAGTCCAGTTGCAAAAAAGCAACCCTTCCATAGGTCCTACAAACCAATATTGTTTTTGAAAAAATTGTTTCCTCAAAAATGTGGCTTCTTAATTTGTGAAGTAAATATGGAAACAAGAGCACCAAATAGCCTAAGACTGCCTTAATAATATTGCACTGGCATAATGAAGAAGGCATGCAAATTTCATGGTAGCATCTTAAATTCTTGAAGTGCTGCAGGGGCTGTTTCATTGTGCCGTAATCCTTTAATCTTGTGATAACATCTGCACCACCCTCCACCTATTTGCAATCTTTGGTGATTGATGACATGCACAAAACATGTATACATGGTAATTCAATGGATTATTTTATATGAGTGTTACTTTGAAAGTTTCTGGATGCTGGTAACAGAAAATGGTTTGGCTGTATTTGGCCATTACACCTTTTCAAAGTTGTTTCGCTGGGCATGAGCACTTTCTTGTCCATTTGAACCATTCCTCAAAGCAGTTTTCCAAAGCAGTGTGGGAACACTCTGTTGCCAGACTCATTCATGAAATCCAATGTTAGGGCAGCAATGACAGGATGCCTTGTCTTGATGGCATGCATAATTTCAACAGTGGCTTTGGCTGCTGAATCTTCAGAGATTCTGACACTTTATTTGAAGGCAGGAATCTCTGCATCAGTAACAGTCTTTTCACCCTGAATAATTAAAATGTCTAAATGACTCATAAACAAGAAGAAACCTGCCACCATTGCCTTCCCACACTAATAGACCACTTGACCTTGGTTGGGTTTGGGTTACATGGGAAGAGCCTGACTGCTTTTTTTTGGGTCAAATTGAAATATCCTATTTTTATCTCCAATATAATGAAACAGATGGAATTTGAAAATACAAAGTTGAATTTCTGGAGCATGACTTTGCATCTTTTCACACTGGCATCCTTTTAACTTGGTTGAGATCATGAGGGTCCCATTGGTTGGTGACCCTCCTCAGACCAAGCTGTCTGTGCAGGATGTTTGTTGTTCATTGCTGCTGATCAACCCCGTTTCCCTGAATTTCCCCATATGTAATTAAATCATCCTCTTCAACCATTTTCTATATAATGGCCACATTTTTATTTGCCACTGCAATTGGTGGCTGGTCAGAGTGAGGCCCCTCCTTCAAGGACTCCCTTCTCCTATGAGAAATGTTTGATCTTTGAGAATCATTCAACCACAGTACTAAGAGGTGGTGCTTCCGTTCTAAAGGCCTATTGTAGACATTCCAGACCCTACTCTGTACTGGGTCCACTTTCAAAGTCATTGAAAAACATTGCTCTGAAGTTGTTTGCATGACAAATTCAACTTGAATCAAGATAATCCCTGAACATGAAGGTATAAAATATTATGAATGATGTTCAAGGCAAGGAATTCTGAAAGTTTTTCATAGACTTGTACTGATGATCTTTACTAGAAGCTAAATTCTCGGCTTAAGAGGTGGCACCTGCAAGCTGCATCCAAAAACTTTCAATGAAACGTTTGTGTTATGGGGCCTGCTTTACTTCCCATCCACATTTCATACTTTCAATTGCTACATGTCAAACTCCTTCATGATAGATGCTGCGAGAGTATGGAAGAGTTACACAGGCAGGAAACTGCTTGAAACAGGCATTGAGAAATAATCTCTTGGGTAACCAGGAGTTACTTCTACAGTATCTACCCCCCCAGCAAATGAATGTCATATCTCACATAGAAGGTAAAAAGCATTTCTCCCTTGGGATGCTTCATCTTTTCATGAGACTCCTCATATGGTGGCATTGATTGATTTTGGATCTAGCTGTACGCAACATTTATAACACGCAGGTTTGAGAAACTCAACCCTCGCGAACTGCTGCAAAATAAATTTCACTAATTATTTAGTAAATGATGCCTCTACTACTAAACTGCAGCTTGTCTTTGACTAGAGCTTGGCCAAGTTTGTCTTTAATCCTTTTCTGATCCATGGCTCAATTGGACATGGAGCCCTATATACTGTCTCATTATTTCATGCATATTTTACCCAATATTTTTTTTGACAAGGCAATTTTTCCGAGGGGGGAGATTCCCAAACAATGTATACTTAATGGTAACTGTGCCAACCAATTAGTCGTCCAAGTAAAGGTAATATTCATGGCTCATTTGCAAATTTAGTGAGATTGTTTTCTTGTTAAAAGAAGCCAGATAAATGGATTGTAGCATTGAAATGGTTAATGCCACTGATGTAAAGGATAGGCGGCATGCTATCCATCATCCCTATTATGCTAAATGACTTCTTTTCATTTGCTTTCAGATGTCTCTCCAGATATTCTTCTGTTGTGCTTACCAGTAACTGTTGGAGAGTCAGAAGAGCTTCTATGGTGCTCCAACACCACCACTGTGAGTTAATTCTCATTTCATTTTAGCCAATATTCTGGTTCCTTCGTCTATTATCATAATAGTATGAACATTTTATATTATCAGGGAAGAGACCTTGATCCTGCTCCTGTGGCTGTTTACACTGGTGAATTATGGGGCAAGCCAACCTGGCAAGTGTGGGTGGAAGGGATGCGTCTTCTCACTGAAAGTGCCGTGGAAGCTGTTGCTGTCTTAATGGCTATATATTTCATTTTTGGAATTGAATATCGGAAGTTAGCTGATGGAAGGAGCAAAGCTTCCACACTTTTTGTTGTTGTTGAAAGACTTTGTGGGATCAACCACACAAAAATTTTGCCAAAGAAGCGAATCATCCAAAATATAATAAAAAACTGTAAGTTATAGGGGGTGATCCTCTTGCTCTTGAAGTTCAGAGTTACTGTGAAGTAAATAGCTGTTCTAGAAATGAAAAAAAAAGGCTTTGTTCATTTATGTTTTGAAATGCTAAAAGATCAATATTTTCCTGGTAATTTCCAGGTTATCAGCAATATTTTGTTGTTTTTCTTCAGTTGTGCAAGGTATTTTTAGTGTTAGCTGAGTTCTTGTGGATACTGAAATTATTTCCCTTTCATTATGATCCCTGGATCACCATCTAGAAATGAGATAATCCATGAAGTCAGTCTTTCTTGGTTTTCCTGCTAATAGTGTTTTCATACATGGAAAGAAATTATTTATTCCTTTGGCTGTATCCCACAAAACCATTTAGAGTGCTTCTTAATCTAAGTTATCCAAGGGTCTCCTTGTAATAAATGTCAGGGAATCTACCCCATATGCCTCCATTCTTTCTCAACACTAGTGCTACCGTGTACATGAAATTACCATTATTACCTGTATAGATGCATTCCCCAGGCATGGTAAGGTTACCACACGCACAGAAAGAGAGCAGTGAGGCAAAAAAGGAATGGTGAAGTTACTAGTCCAAAAACCACCCTCAGGGCATGGTTACATGACCACCCCAGGATGGTAATATAACTAGGATTTGAGGGTGATATTTGGACTGGTAGCTTCACCGTTTCTTCCTTGTTTCCTTACCGTACCTGTGCTGTGTTCACCCTCAGGTCATGGTTACATGACCATCCCAGGATGGTAATATAACTAGGATTTGAGGGTGATTTTTGGACTGGTAGATTCACCGGTTCTTCCTTGCTTCCTTACCGTACACGTGCTGTGTGTTCACCCTCAGGGCATGGTTACATGACCATCCCAGGATGGTAATATAACTAGGATTTGAGGGTGATATTTGGACTGGTAGCTTTACCGTTTCTTCCTTGTTTCCTTACCGTACACGTGCTGTGTGTGTAATGACGCAGGCGTGGGGACTTATAGGCAGTATTAGCTTGTTTAATACCTGAACTCAAATATGGAGATAACTAATGAAGAAATGACAGCTTCGATTGATTGCCTTTATGAGACATGACAAAGTTGAGATCGCCAGTGAGTAAAATCAATGCATTAGGCGAGATTTTCATGGCAAATTTTGGACTGCGTTTTCTATTGCTTTCACTGCCTCTTTTGCTTTTTTACTATAGTAAGGGAAGAGTTTTGCGGTTGAAATTCGAAGGTGAAATGCACAGTCAGTTAGGTTTGAACGATGAGCAGTATTGCTCCCCTTTCAATAAAATTGCTACGCAATCAGACTATCGCAGATTTTCCACATTAAGAAGCACATTAAGTCTATCAGGCTTGCAGAGAATGAACCATGTTTCACATGCCTTAAAACCTATGATTAAGTAACTCACCTATCGCGTCGGAATTGTGTTCCGCTGACTAATTAAACGGGAGCAACTGCAGCCATTCTCTTACGCAGACTCCATGCGTAAATAGCGTAGAAACAGATTAAAATAATTTAAAAAAAAAAACAGAAACGAGTTACTCTCTAAAAACCATCATTGGAGAAAGTTTCAGGAGATCGAGAGTTCTTGAATAATGGATTGTGATTAAGTGAATCCCACTTGCCTCTTCCTTCTTCCTGGATGCATCCGCTGAAAGACGCTGTCTTCTAGGACAAGAAAAACCAAAAATAAAGTGGTCAGAAACTCTCACTAAGCTGTGAAGAATCATAGCGATTAAGAAGCGAAGGGTTGAATGTCGAATTCTGATGTCAGTGTCTTCAAGGGCATTAATGTACATTTTTAAAGTGCTGTTCCTGATTCGCTTAAGCTAACAGATTCAAAATTACGGCATGGAATGTGAATTTGGTTGACAACAATGGAAAGCTAACGTTACATGATTATGCTATGAAAATACGTCATTACAACTTTAAGTTACTCTTGAGAAATTGCGCCATGAGGTGGGAGAAGCCATTGATTTTTTTTTTTACTCACCTCCGTGTTTGTGTGAAGCTGATATGAGTTGTTATCTAGGCTCCTTCCAGAGAGAGTATTCGTCCTATGCGAGAAGCTCAATGATAAGTTCCCTGCTTTCCTCCTTCTCTTTTCCTTCTGAAACGAGGAACCAGGCTGCTCCTGGCTAACACTGAAAGCTGAGGCATCATGCATCATAGTGTGAAGGTACTTCCAGCATGATGCTGGTGTCATCATATGTGTTGACTTGAATTGCCACTGTTTTCCGTGATTTAACTGTGATCCCGCTCTGTCTTCAGTACCGATCAGCTCTCACCCAGTGATTCACGAATTTGGTGCACTCATTCCTCTCGGTTTCACCTTGTATCATCTCATTCGAAGTCAGGCAAGTTTTAGGCCCATATCTTCACACTATTGAGTCCATAGATTTGTACCAGCAAGTAAGTAGCATTGTATATAGTAAGTATAAGGAATTATTTACAAAAGGGACATCACAATGAGGTCTTACATGTGTGATTTGAGTCAGAGGATGAAAGCAAAAACCTCCTACCCTATTCCACATTTCCTAAAATGAAATTTTGCAGGTAGCGTACGATTCCAACACAAGTCTTACTGTTGCCGTCTACCAGAAGCTCGTAATACAGTAATAACAGCTGCGCCACGTAATTTTGGGAAAAATAAAAATCAATGCAAAGTATATACCTCGCTAGACCACACCCGCGTCCCGTGGGATCCGCTTCGCTGGTAACAACGAATCAACAAAAATTAATAACTCGGGCCTAATTTGTAATTAGCAGGAATAGGACTAAAATATTAAAGGGATAAAGTTCGAATTTCAAAGTGCCACACTTTGGGCGAATAATAAGGGATGCCTCACGTCATCAGGGAACCCTCAACTGGATGCATGCAAATTCTCAGGCATATCCGCCTTGCAGCATTCAAGTGAGGCAACGTAGTTGACGTTTCGAACACAGGCATTGGATAAATCAGATGATTTTAAACTAGGCTCTGGATGCGCATAAACTATATTGGATCAATCTGACACGCGAATTTGACGGGCAACTCGGTTGGTAATCAAGCTTCTTGTTTGGTGCAGGCGAATAGGCTATCAGAGGTTTTTTTTTCGCCATCCTCTTACAGTGGCTGGCGGAACGTAGGGACCTGTGGTGGAGTGGACTACCTGCAGAATTTGTCAGATATATATCACATGAAAATACTCTATGAATATGTTACAGGGATATATGTTTCAGCCGAAAGAGTTGAGGTATGAGTGCATAATAATAATGTGCTGATGTAATGGTTACATTCTACGTGGACATTCTGGAGCAGGAATGTTCGACGCCTCGCCCAGGCCATTGTGGCTGCTAGCTATGCTCCTACCATCCCGTGCACATATAACACAATTAACATATAACATTTTTGTACAAGCCTACAAAGGACGTCGGCTATTCTTATGTAGGTAGATCGCACCCTCGTGCATGGGATCGACTTCGGGTCTAAGAACAGACAAAGAAATCCGGGTTGGGATGACTTCCGAAGGGGACTACCCGTAGAATGTGGCAATAGATATATAACATGAAAATACTGTATAAATACGTTACAGCTTCATATGTTTCAGCCGAGAGAGTTGAGGTATGTGTCATATTAATGTGCTCGGCGTCCCGCCCGGCGTCTTCTAGCTATGGTATGTCCTTCCCAGGCATGGGCATTGTACTCGAGTCAGGTTTTCTTACGCCCTTCTGGTCTAGTCTCCGTTGTCCCGGTGAGGCCCTTTATCGCGCTGGCCCAATTAGTAGACCTCTATTTCCTTTCCTCCAGTTCGGTCAAAGGCCAAAGAGTCAACCTGTTTTGGGAAATGATGGGTTAGGAAAGGATTGCGGCCTTTCGCCACGATCATTTTCTAATCTAACTGCTCCATCATCCCCCAAATTAGGCTGACTTTCTCGCTCATGCGGCCAAACATAGAATGAATGCGGCTCGCTCTTCCTGTTTTCTCTGAGGTTATTTCGTTGGGGTATATGGCTAAAACGCAAAATCACTGTGTGAAAAAGTTTGAGTGTTGAGTTTTTTGTGTGGGCATATGTCATGAGGACCAAAGGTAGGGAAGACTGACGGGACAGGGTAAAAAAAATTTCGAGGGCTGACCGGGACTTGAACCCGGGCCTCTTGTCACTCGGTCCAAGTCGCTACCAATACACCACCCACCACGAATCCAGAATAAACATTCTCCTTCCCTATCACCACTCATAAGGGTTTTTGTTCCAACGTAAACGGGCAGTTTCGCCCTTACTTCAACGTCACTCCACAATAAAATTACTACTTCCTTTCTCATATTTCGCAGCTAAAATATGCACTAACGCAATCTACTCATCCAGAGCTTGCGAGTGATATATCACATGCACCATTCGGCGGGTCGGAAATCTTTCCCTCATGGATAACTGTTAATTAGCAGTAAGAAAAATGCAATTAGCAATCAGACGTAAAGGGCATCGTTGAGATCAAAGAGACTGCCTGGTCGATCCAAGAGAGAGCACTCAACAGGTAGCATCAAGGAAATAAAGTAGTTAGCTTTTTAATTGATCAATCAATTAACACGTTCTATTTTTTGTGCAAGGTTTTAGACCATGACAATCAATGCGAGACCACTAGCACCTTCACCCAATTTCTCCTTCATGGTTAGGTGATTCGGTAAACTGCGCATTATATATGTGGATGTGTCATATTACACTTAAAGACAGTGCAGTTAATGGTTAGAATAATGGATAGAGCAGACAGTAAAAGTTTCAATGTTTTCTAAATAAGATTGTTGATGCCTTACATGAGAGAGCAGGCATTTCATTTTAATCATGTATTCACGCTTGAAGGATGAATGTAAGGAAAATGAACAGCAATCAACAAATGACAGAAAGAACTTGTCATCAATAAAAAATGAAGAGGAATAGGAATTTTCGGTGTGTCTTTCATTGGCGCCTGGAAGCATGGCTCATTGCATTTTAAACGTTCCACTTCAACTGTTGGAAGCTGCGAGGGCACTACCAGCAATTCAGATTTGCCTCAGTGAAAATAATACTGTACGAAAGATTTTGTCAGAAGAGGCTGGGAACAATTTTTGGAGATCACATGATTTGACATAATAAAATAGATGCCGACCAGAGTATTAATGGATGTTTCAGCTTTACCGTATGATAACTTGTACATGGTATATGATATTTTTCAGATTTCAGCAGATTTTCTTTCCATTCAATGTTTTTTTTCAATTAAATGAGTCTGACAGCTTGAAGAGGACCTTCCCTGTCCAAATGATTCAAGTGACTCATTGGGAGAAAAGAAGGTCCTTCTCAGAGGCGGGTGAAGATCGACTTTGAGCTTTTCTTCCATGAACTAGTAGTTAAGGAGCTACAGTTGCCCTTTAAGGAAGACAAGCTAAGAGATGTGAACAATTACAGTGAACAGATAGAGTGGTTTCTCTGGTCTTCAAACGATAAACCTTGAGTAGACGTGGAGAGACTTTCCTGAAATTCTGGACTTAATGGGTAGAGGGGACAATCATAAAAAGCTTTCTTGTATCCAATTACATTCAATCGGCGATGAAATTGCCTTCATAATGGAGTACAGCTTGGAGCAACTTCAAAAAAGTTACCTAACTCACTGTAGTGTGCACCTGGATATACTTGATAGAATTCCCTGGCTGTATTGCTATATAGTGCAAGTTATTCGTGGTTTGCCCCTCGTGCATAGTTAAAACTAGCACCGGCTGCGCTTACCAGTGTAGGCAAATCTGATGGCTATCAATAACTCGTAAATTTATGTATTCAGTGTTGGTCAAAATCTATCGTTTATAATGCGAGGCCACCAGACAAATCGCAAAGATCAACATTAAATTACTTATTACTTAATTTTAGTGCAAACATTTTGCTGAGCATAAGCGTAGCAAAGAGGGAAAAAGTGTGGAGGGGTAGGGGAACTCTGAGATATTGATGATGTTATTATGCATTTATGAGGCTTTTTTTTGGCTTATTTCCTTCAAAAGTGGGGGGAGGGGGACAGTGCCCCCCCCTTTCCCCTAATGCAATCCCACTGTCGCTGAGGATGTTGGTGATAAAAAGAAATTACCATGGCCAGTAAATTTGGGCAGATTTTACTGGAATGCCAGCGCAGGTGCAAAGGGCAAAGATGAAGCTCCGATAATCGTTCACTGAGACTCGAGTTTTGCTACAAATTTACCTATGCACAGCAAGTTGGGTAAAAGACCCCGTGATGGGCCACTTAAGGATGTATTTGCTCTTTGAAGCTCTCTCTGAGTAGTATTTTTTTTAGATGAGGATGCTATTAAGTGGATGAGGTAAACAATAATTTATATGTTGTAACACAGGTAAGAATAGTTTCTTCAAACTTTCATTGCTTTTTGGCAAAAGTTTTTTTCAACAAAATTGGCCGAAAAGCCTTAGTGATGGACCGGTTTACTCCAGTTATCGACCGGGTTGGATCCAGTGATGGTCCACTCACTATCGGTGGGTTTCGATGGCCTGAAAAGGATTAACATCAGAGTTGTTAAGTGATACGGTTGTCTTTATTGCCACATTGTATCAATTTAATGCATCAATTGCTCTCATAGCATTCCTCGTCATCATTCGGGATGTGTTTACAGTGAGTCGCTGTCTTTCGGTTCTCTTGTTTTCTCCTAGGCTTCTTTGTCGGTCCAACGTCAGTCACAGTCACCATACTTCTTTAAACATTTTCTTCGGTTTCCCCGTAGCTCTCTCTGGTTCACCAGTAACACTCTTCTGTTAGTTCTTCTTGGCCTCCTGTTCGTCCTTCCTTTTCTTTCCCTAAATTTTTTTCAGCTCTTTTTTTCCCTCTTGGACTCTCTTTCCTTGTTCCTTCTGCATTTCAATTTTTTTCTTTCCGTCATCCTTGTCTCGAAACATCTTCTTCCATTTCTTACTGGACAATGTCCAAGGGAACCGCTCGGTGTTGCGAGAGCCCTTTCTTTTGGGGGTTCCTGGCCAAACAAGAAAGTCATCGATGGAAGATTCTGGACGTTCGGATTCAATCTGGAACTCATCAGGAACTGCCCCGATTTGTGCATAGAGAGGACTGACAGGGCGACGGGGGACGGGACTTGGAGGAGGATTGTCGATCATTGAATCCGGAGCAGCAGCAGCATCTGCATCCGTGTGAAGGAGTGGTACAATGGGACTGACATTTAGGAAGCGACAGTGCAAATTGACCATAGCTGCCCAGATCTCCTCTTGTTCTTGGGGTCGAACCCCTGTCTCGAGCGCAGTGAGGAGCTCTCTTCCCATGATGTCGTTGAAGTCCTGCAGGGAGATGTGCTGGGGGGTTGGTCTAATAGCAGTGTCTTTTTCAAGAGCAAGGACGCCATGGGATTTTTTCACTCCGAGACAGCGTGAATAATCCACGTATTCTGGGTCCCATGGCGACAATCCACAGACTCGAAAGCCATTCACAATACATTTAATTGTGATCTTTTCCACAGCCACCTGCAGGACGCCGGCAAAGTCTCTTCTGGCCATAACCTGATTTGGGTGATCCGTATGCCACGAACAGAGAGCGGCCTTCCAATTGCCTTTCAGCGGTCGGAAAATGGACACATCTGCTGGCTGCAAAATTCTGGTGGCATTCG